TATATTTTTAATCATTTTTAAAGATAAAAAATTAACAGACTATGAAAGAACAATGTATTAATAGGTATAATGTATTCTGACTGTATTGGTAATTTTTTTACTACATTCTATAACATATTAATCTAGAACCCAGAACAATATGTTTCAGCTTGTGTGTCTTCGTATTTTTCAAGAGTCATTTTCAACTAGTTTCTTGCAAGGAACAGAGACAGATAATTGATTAGGATTTCACAGAACATGGTCCTCACCAAAGTGCTGCTTAATGTTTTTTAATCATGTGGAGTATGTGTTTATGCTTTCTGATGGCATCAAATGATGTGGTTGTGGCAAGGAGATTCAAGAACTGAAATCAAATTTAGGGTAGAAAAATTTGCAGATGCACAAAGACATGTAAATAAAATAGACATTTCTTTGGGGCAAGAAATTCAAATGGTACAAATGACTTGGCAAAATTTCATTTGAAAAGACATGCAGACTCTGTAAATATAAATCATTGTATATTATAAATGCAAAAAGTAACTTTAAAACAAGCTTGATAAGACTCAGTTATATGGAGTCATGATGGAAATGGGAGTTGAAATCCCCTGCACACTCACTAACCACAACTGTGACGGATGGTTGTTTACGAAGGACACACCTCTATTCCCTGTATTTCAATGTTTGTTTCTTCCGTAAGCTCTCCAGTTCACCGATCGAGTCAGCTTTATTTTAATACTCTTCCTAATTTGATGGAACAACAGTGTAAAAAGTGAGATTAGGGAAGAAACATATTTTACAGGATAGTTTGAAAACCGTGCTTCATGAAGATGCAGACTGATTGTATCACTTTCGTTGACAGCAAGGATGAGCACAGTTTATTTTTCTTCTTTTGTTTATTGTCACAACAGACCAGCTCTCACAGGTTAAGGCTGTACGAGAGAGATAACTACCGAGGCCTCGTGTCTGAGCTCACTGAAGACTGTTCCTGCATCCACGATCGCTTCCGTGTCCATGAGATCCACTCCCTCCACGTGCTGGAGGGCTGCTGGGTGCTCTACGAGCTGCCCAACTACCGCGGGCGCCAGTACTTGCTGAGGCCGGGGGACTATAGGCGGTACCAGGACTGGGGCGCCATGGATGCCAAAGTGGGCTCTTTGAGACGCATCATCGATTTGTACTAGGCTGTGCTTTTCTTGTTATGATCCACATAGCAACACAATAAATATACAAATTGTGTTCCTGGCACTAAGTGGCTCTTGCTTATCTTTAAATAATAACGGAATTCAATAAATGGTCACCCCAGGCAACTTACCTGACCCCGAAAGATGTTTTAAATGTACACTTACTTCCTGTTGGTCAGGCAAGAGTATTTATGGAATATCCATTCTTGTCATGGGAAGGAAGGAGAAGCGACTGTTCCTGCCTTCCGTGACCTACAGTCTGAAGGAGAGAGAAAAGATAAACATAACTAAAAACTATCAGAGCCCATAGAAAGTAGAAAATACAGAACCCTTTGTGGCTCGTGGTTGGGACCGCAAAGAGAAGGGATTAGGATAGGTGAGGTCTCAGACAAGATTAGGGAAGAGAGGAATTTTAAAGAGAATTTCCAAAGAAGAGAAGGCCAAGCCTGCTTGGTTAGGTCATATGTTAGGAAAAGTGTTAAACTAAGAGTGAAACAGCCTGATTCCTTTTGCTATCTCTGCTGCTTATTAGTAGAGTGACCGACTCAGCCCCATTTCTCCTTTAGCACTTAAAGTCTTCCTCACCAGAAAGCCTTTCCCTTTCAGGTAACGCTGGGTGGTTTGTTACTCTATTTACTAGCTCATCACTTTGAGCAAGTCACTTCTTATCTTCTCTGTGCCTAAATTACTTCACTGAAAACTAAAAGTGGTGATAAACCCCCTCCTAACTAAATGCCAAGATAATAATATGAAAAGATGGGAAAAGATTATGAGCACATTTTGTTATCTTTACATTATTATATAAATGTAAATATAAGAACTTAATAAATCCCCATTGCCTTCTAAAATTCAACCTCACAATATGGTCATCTTTATTTTGGACTCCATTATGACTTTTTATTAAGACTCAATGATGCAAAGTAAGATATTAATATTTCCTATCCTGTATGTCTCTGGGATTTTTTTCCATTATAGTAGAGCTGGTCTCACAGAATATTAGCTCCATTTATAAATTTATATAAGCAAAAATAATACTTTGTCCCAGTTGACTTTTTTGTAAAAAATGATAAGCTGATTCTAAAATCCATACAGAATTGCAAGGGATCCCAGAATAGCCAAAACAATCTTGAGAAAGAAC